TTGTTATTTTAAAACATTATTAAAAAATAAATCAAATCGCTTGTTAAAGAACCAAACAGCGATATGAGGATTATCGATGATGTTTTGGTTATTGGTCTCTCTTTCTGTGAAATTAGATGGTATAAGCTTATGGAGTTCAGGCCAGTGCAAATCAGCAGTGCTAAATGTAAAGAAGATTAAGCCCTGTGATCCTATTTGCTTAATTATGTCTGAAAGTTTCTAATGCCTTGCATTCCAAAACTACCAAGATCCACGCAGCCCTTCACCAAATCGCATAATTCTATTGGCAATATGATTATCGCCTTGAATTATTCTCTCCTGAATATCTGTAACAGTAATTTGAGAATTGGTTAGATTTTGCTTAACATATACTTTCCCTTTTTGTAGTGCTCGCCATCGTATCTAGGAATTTAACGCAAAATATCACCAATGAGGATAGCGTGCAAATCTCCTGTCTTTATATAGAAGCAGATGTCTAAAGTATTCGGCAGGTTTGACGTCCCTAATTCGCTCTGCACAAAGATCTGCGCATCCAGTTAGATATAATGTTGGGAACGCGCATGCAATATACCCTGGCATTTGGAATTTATTGACAGGATTGTTGCTAATCTACGGCCATTTTATGAGGCGGTTTTGATTTTGCACACGATCAGATATTTTAAATGGTGACATCTTCACAACAAGTTAAAGGAAGAAGTGGAACAAAAGTGCGTGTAACTGCATCACCATCATCACCCTCATCTTCATTATCTAAATCTTCGACAACTATTTGAGTATTCCGAAGGCGGTCATCAATAGATCTACTGGTAGGCAAAGAACAAAGAACCTCATCATCTATTATAATATTAGTATAATAACGATTGTTCTCTTTTAGCCAGTGTAACGTGTGAGCAACTTTGATACGACAGATAGTAAAATCTCTGAATGCTACCGAATTATCTGCAGTTTCATAACGTACAACAAGTACATCTAATGACGATGGATGCCGAGAAAGGTGAGTAGCAAATTCTTGTACATCTTAGGGGAAGTTGATTACATTTTCACGATATTCATATTGTCTTCCACGAAATCTGTAAATAGATATTGCGGGAAAGATTCTAGCAATCAACATCTCCTCAATTTCTGTAAGCCCTTGGAGTTCATCAGGTACATCACCGGGATCCATGCTATTTTCTGCAGAGAATTTCTTTGGGTAAGTCTTTTCACTATAACAGTGGCAGCATTCTCCTTTTACAAGCACTATGGACGGAAAGTTCTCATTGCATATAGGGTAAAGATTATGTTTTAATTTTTCCATTTTATTGCGAAACTTCCGTAGAAGGCCTCGTTCAGATTTACTGAGCTCAGATGGAACTTCGATACTCCGATCTTGCTACTCTGAAATGTCTCGATCCTGCTTTAGCATACTTCGATTCTGCTGCAGTTGTGGCTTCATAGATCGTTGCTGCTGTGGCTGTGGTTGCTATGACTTCATAGATCGTTGCTGCTGCGGCTGTGATTGCTGCAGCTTCATGGCTTGACCCCGCTGTGACTGCGTTGGATTATGGTTGTTTTCAATATTTTTATTTGCTACTTTTAGGCATTTTCATTCGCGGTTATATGTGCGACGTGCATCCCGTTCTTCGGTAGTTTCTACCACCTTTCTTTTCTATTTTTTCTCACGTTTCCTTGACAAGATGAGCTTCACAATGCTCAGGCGTTTCATTTTCTCTTGATTTACGTTTCCAAAGAGTGTTAAAGTTAACTTTATTGCGCATTTTATCATAGTAGATGCAAACTAACAAATGTCTCAAGAATAAAAGCTCAGTATTCTCGTTATTGTAGCTTGTATGTGGCTTGTTGCATGTTACAAACGTTGTTGCATGTTACAAACGTTGTTGAATGATATTACGATTTGTATTACATTTTAATGTTACATTCGATTACTTCATTGTTACATTTATTAATGACAATCATATTATATACAATTTTATTACAATTATTTTATTACAATGATTTTATTATTTGAATAAAAGCATACATCCCAATATAAAAAAAAAGGTTAAAAATCACTCTGGACACACAACGGTTCCCGTTTCCTAGTTAATTAGAAATTATTTTATAATATTGTTTGCTAGTTATCACTGGTGGTGATCACAAATTTTCTTTTTTGGATATTTATATAATACAATTTAAATTTTATTAAAATCAAAATTGCTTTTTTGGAATTGTATCATGTTATCTAACTGTTCAAAAAGGCATTTTAGCTGGCATTATAAATTTGGCTGAAATTAGGTATGTGACGAATAACATGATAAAATATGGAATCATTTTCAAGATTTCAACTCTAAAAATTTACAGTAAATTAATTTTTCTATCCCTATTGATAGCAAAATCAATATGAATGAGTAATAAATTTTAATTTATATTTGAAAGTTGTTTGCTTTAAGCCTCTTCCATTGTATAAAATTATAAAACACTGAAATTTTTTTGCTAAAATTATTATAATTTGGCTCGTGGGCGCTTGTCAGTCGGTTCAGCTTACTTACAAAAGCCATTTTTTTTTTTTAAAAAAAAAAAATAATAATTAAAAAGTTATTTAGCGACGAATCAAAATTGCCTGAAAGAAAAAAAGAAATGGTAATTTCTAAATTTAAATTTTTAAACAAACCATTAAAGTACGGAATCTGATTAAAGAGAAAATTTAGTCAAATGAAAATCAAGTTTGATATGAGTCTCATTGCGATAAATTCTAATTTTGCAATTTTTTACTGTGCGATAATTTGTAATATTATGCGATGCGGAAAAATTGTTGTGATCTTGCGGAATGCCAGAAAATAGTTCGTTCCACCGAAACTACCGAAACTTCGTTTAATAAATTTATTTTTAAAAACTTCAAATCGACGCCTACACGTCTCAAATAAAAAAGACTTAAAAAAACTGCTTTTATAATTGCAATAAATATTTATGAAAAAAAAAATTTCAATTTTTAATCCAATAAAGAAAAATCATTAATTCTAAGAATTTACTTACGGAAATATCCTTGTAGTTGATTTCCGTCAGGATGTTGAATTTAAAATTTACTTCGTGTAAGAATTTTTAAAGTTTTCATATATATATATATATATATATTTTAAAAAAAATAAGAAAAGAAAGGTATTATACATTTTAACCATTCTTTTAATATAAATATAGATGCGGCTAATATATATCGGTTTTGGTGTGAATGCGTCTCTAATAATTCTATTGAATACTACCTCCGATGATAAAATTTGAGATAATACATGACCAAATTTTCAAAAAAGTTTATCTTACGCAAAGCTGAGTAATCGAATTGTATATCCTTTATTATACCAAATTTAACACTTAACGTAATTATTTTCATGCGTTTATAATTTGAAATGGAATGAGAGGGCCAAAAGCAATGAAGTATCCATAAAATTACGAATGTTTTCGTAGTTGAGGATTAGGGAAAATTTTTTGCTTAAATTAGTGCATAAAGGATTTCTTTCAAGATAGTATGCATATGAAATATAAAATTTTGATAAATAATATATTAAAATATAATTTAGAAACTTAACAAGTGATAATGATGCATATAATCATCTTTGAGAAAGCTTTTGTACTAATCTGTTGTTCACATTCAAAAAAAAAAAAGGAATATTTTATTATTTTAAGATATACAGTACAGTATCTCGCGAAAAAACCAAACCAATCTACCAGGTATTTCTTTTCTAAGACTCTGACTATTACCTAGCACTCATTATACAGATGGTGTCAATAAACCCAGTTCAAATTTAATCACAGGGAATCATCCAGCTGTATTTTTCTTCATTCGATTAGTCATATATGAATGCCGGAAAGGTTCAAATTGAAATTTCATCAAAACATGCATTAAAACATAATATGATCCAATTATTTGAAAGTTATTGAGATTGTTAAAACCTTAATTCCTTTGAGAACGGAATTACATTTTGCTAAATTAATAAAAAATTTTAGAAATTATTAGATCGCAATTTCAAGTTGGAGCTAAAATTTTTAAATATGAAAAAAAAATTATTATCGATTAACAATATATTATATTATATTAATTGAATCACGTTAATATAATTTAAAAGATTTAATAATTTCTTATGACTGCGTGAGGCAAATTTACACATTCCGTGGGAAATCTGCCATTTTTAAATAAACCCGATGTGCCGGCGCAAAAAGGTACCCATGTTGACTTGGGTTAGTAACGCACTTGTTCATAACCTCCGGGAGGTATACAATGTCAACTCTAAATTTTTATTTTATTTGTTAGAAAATTTTTTTTTTAATAATTGTAATTTCTTTACATCATTTTTTTCTCAACCGGTTAAACTTTATGTTTTAGATGTTCTTGATATCCGTTTCGTTCATTCCAACAATACATTTATTTATTTGAGCCTCAAAGAATTATTACCATTGTCGCATATTCATAAGTACAATTATGAATTAATCGTGATCTTTCTCCATACTTGTGTCAGGCGTTATTTTAAACCATTTTCTTGATCTTATTTGTCGAAATTTATCCTCATATATAAACAATATAATTAATCATCCATACCATATTAATGATATAATATCAAATGTTAATTAAATAATTCCAATAAATTAGAACCATCAGTGATTTTACTTGCATCAACTCAAGAGACTTGGATATCACCTTTGATGGTTGTTTTTATCCTGAGTAAGTTTAATATATGCATGAAATTTTAAACAGTTTTTAACGAGACCATCTACTAAACCTATCTACTTTTATTTTTTTTTAAATACAACTGGTGGGATCATTCCTTAAAATATTAACAACTAGGTCAGGGAGATTGCCTATCTTTAACCTAATCGGTTACTTTTTTATATAATTTTTCCCTAATCTCTAATCGTCAGTACTTTTTGATTTTAAATAGTTCAATGATTAATTTGTAAAAAGTTATTGACCAGTATATCGAGCAAACATTATCAACATTATATTCTTTACGACTATATGATAAATCATTCGTTACTTTATCAATCAAATTTCCTGATTTAAGGGTTTTTCTTTCTGCTTAATTAATTTGTATGTTACAATTTCTGCTGTTTTAAAGATAGAATCTGATTTATTTTATTCCTCGTAGCTTAAGATTGAGCTTTCTTGATTAAATTGTTGTTAGTATTTTCAAGTTTTTTAGTGATCGTTCGTGAATTTTAAAGGATCTGTAAGTTGATAAAGCCATGTTTACAGCTTACTTTTATCTTTAATAACCTGAGATGATTAATCCACAACATATTTGTTGAAAGCATAATTAACTTTTCTTTGACTTTATAGATATGGCGAGATTTATTATATTTATCTTTCCATTCGCCTTCATTTTGATTTGATAATATTTGAGGTATATATAAGATATTTACGCTTGTAGTGATCCAGGTGTATGTTATATGAGCTTTGAAATGTTTTAAAAATTTTTTAAAGTTTCTTTTGAATGTACATATATAAATCGTAGCATGAAAAGATCTACATTTAGGAGGAAATGTAAATAATATACTTCGTCTAGTGATTGTTGAGAATTTCCATAGATGAACATCACAAGAATAAAATTCAATAATTCTCTATATAATTGATCTTGATGTCTTTCATCTAACTTTATGGAATCAATATCAAAGACTTTGTCATTCCTGAAGTTGTTTAATTTGTATGTCAAACTTTTACATCAAAATCAAAGTCTCATATATAGCCAATTGCATCAATAAATTTATACGTATGGTACTACAAGATTAACTCTAATAAAACAAATTCTTGATTTTAATGGAATATCAATTTCCTTTATTGGGTTTATAATGCCTTAAAATTTGGAAGTTGATTATTTTTTTATTTTGGTTAGTTTATAGCATCTCTGCTAGTTTATTTAATATACAAATGCAAATCCAAAAGTTCATGATTACTGATCAACCAAACTTTAAATTATGCATAATTAAACGACAAACTTGTTTGTGGTTTTGTTTTAACGAATATTGAAATTTTGACACATCCAAATTGAATTCTCATTTTCAAAATTTATATTCTGTTTTCATATATGAACGGATAACTTTACAAAATGCTACATGCATGATGTGTTATAACAATCCGATAAAAGTTATAAAATTCCGTAATCCAAATTATCAACCACATCATATTATATAGTATATTATAAGATTTTCGTAACCCACCGTATCAGTTTTCAAAAATTGAAAAAAAAATTGTTATAGTAAAATTTTTTTTATACAAATAAAAACAATTGCGTAAAAACAAAAAAAAAAATCTTTTAATAAGATTTATTTTACAAGCATTCATCTCTTTTTGCTTGTTACAAGTGCTTTTTTGTGACTTTCAGGGTGAGCTCAATTATCAATATTCTATATAGACTTTGATAAGTCTTTGATAAATTATTTTTGCATTATATCTTCCAATCTACCAAAATTAATTCTTACACAAAAATTCTTATTGTTACACAATATAATTTCCAAAAACATATTTGCAGATCATCATTTTCCAGGCCATTATGACCTAATAATTATTTTTTTTTATAAATACGAGCCGGAAATCCTTAAACAGCTCAACATTCCACGCTCGCCCTTATTATATTTGCATACATACTCCTCAAAAATCTTCCTTAAACCCCTTCGCGATATTTTCGCTTTCGCCATTTTAACATTTTATATTTCGTATTTATTTGTAACTTCGTTTATTTTTAATTCCGATCTTATTATTTTAATTTTTTCGTAATCGTTGGTAATTGCGGAG